CCCGGTGTGCTTGAGCCAATGACCTACTGACTCTGCTCATTGGCAGTTCATCTCTTTCTTTCTCGAGAACTTTTGTAGTACTTTTAGCGATACCAATGAGCGATCTTGTATTTTTCTCTCCATAGTTTTATCATCATGAATACATCCATTGTAACATTTGCTCTACCCCGATCTTAAGATCAGTCATATCACTGTGCATTAATACCCAATGTCTAGGCGCCAATGCTCGCCAGGGGCAAACACCACAAAGATACGTCATCTCGTCTTATGAGCTATGCCATGCCGATAGCGTTTGCCATACTACTATTTCCATCCACGTGGAGTCTGGTCTACACAAGAGCCGAAGATCGCGCATCAGCCACCACGCGGCTTACACGTGAGGTGTTGCCCACTTCTTCCCTTTCCCGGCATGTATACAAGCCATACCAAGAGATCTACGACCGTTTTCGGTCCGTTCCTCCTCCCATGTTGCCTGCAGAGGGGTGGGGACGGATCTACATTGCTTACCGATCTTGTGGCTTTGGAATCAGATGCGCGATAGAGTTTTACAGTGTTCGTACGATGTGTTTGTCCGGATCACGGTGGTGGATTGCTTGGTGTTGAGAAAACGGGGGTCGGTGCATGGATTTGGTCGGTTTTGCGAGAACTTTGATGTTGGGCATGGGTATCTTGTTTACGCGCTAGATTTTAGTTCTTTTCTCGAATGTTCTGCGCATACATCATGAATGCTTGCAAGCTGGAAGGTCTTGCGGTACTTGAGATCTCAACATCTTGACTATGACACGCAGACATCGCATTTTACTAGGATAAGGGACCGTGTAATAGTTTTTGGCATGTGTGAGCTCATTTTGGTACGTCTCTGCTGACTTCTGTACACACTTGCCGATGATAGTGATACAGGGAAGGATGGGCTACTACAACTATCATCACCGTTAGGCGACTGTCGCTAGAAGTGCGCTGGTCGTCCTGGAAATCGAAGTGACGCTGGACAGTGGAAGCGGCAGCTTCAATGATACGCAGTCATCTCGGGAATGACGAGGGCAGTAAGGAGGCGCTTTGCTTTCGAGAGATATAGGAGGATGGAAACGATGGTAATAGTGCCTAGCTATCAAAGATAGGTGGAAAGTACTGGAAATAGTAGTCGGCATGAGCGTGGTAAGGATCACACTGTCAGAGTATCGTGAAGATCCATTATCTTTGCCCCTCCTTGTCATTCAACGTAAATTCGTGAGGTGGCGATATATTCAGTCGGTAAGCCTCGAGTGTTACACCACGTGTGTACCGAGAGTGTCATGCGACGATGGTCATGGTGGCAGTGAGGTGTGCTTTTGCGGTATCGGAGTCGACGCGCCGTTTGCGTACAATCTCGCTCATCGCGCCCTTCCACTTTGCGAATTCTTGTATCCAACGCTGCAAACTCTTCACAGGCACGATGCCCATCTCTATCTCATGTGAGAACCTTGCCTGCTTTACCAACCCCAGCCATGACCGATAACCTCAACCCACCGTCAATGGAATGGAATGCTCCAGAGGGGACTCCGATGCTAACAAATTTGTGTGTAGATGGGCCGGTCGTCGCTGACTCGTTCCCGTTGAAGAGGCTCCCCGATGAGCTCCTTCTCCATGTCGTCGCCCAAGTCCCAGAAGTCGATCTTCTTAAGCTCAGCCTGGCGGCCAGGCATAATGGCTCCATGGTGCAGGATGCACCACATCGATACCCTACAATCTCTTACGCCGACGATGCCATGCCGCGACGAATCGCACGACTAGCTCGTGCCCTCTTCAGCCGCGCTGACCTAGCACGCGCAGTAGCCCAACTCACGCAGCGGCCCATCATCCATCTTGTCGAGATTCCATTCACCGCACTATCCGCGGCCGACAATCCAGTACTCCAGGACTTCTTCCAGCATACACGCGTGTACATGGGCGAGATAAAAATTGCAGCACTCCTCCTTGCTTCTGTTCCTAACTTGAAAGAGCTCGATCTGCAAACCCTTTTCAACAGTAGTCTGCATGAGCTCGATAGCAGTCGTTATGGCCATGCATGTAGCGTACAGTGCAGGCTTCCAGACAAGACTGAGTCACACCCCCTCGACGTCGCCATGAACCCAGGATTGGGGGCGCTCCGGAAGCTGCATCTTCATGCTCGTCACATTAGCTGGGACTGGCTGGCCTTGCCTTGCATGAAGGCCATCACCCTTGGCCTTCACTGTAGCGTTGACTGGGATACTGCATCAGCAGGTGTCTCCAGGGTCGAAGAACTGGTGCTGGATTTGACCACGAATGTCTTCCTTAACAACGACCGGAGATACAAGTATCTGCCCAAACTCTTTCAACGAATGCCTTTCCTGTGGTCGCTCATCATCAACATAGGCAACAAGTGCTTGGCTCCAGGGCCAAACCAGATCGAGGGTGATATTCTTGGGGATGATGTGCGGGGAAGCATGGAAATCCTCGTAGAAACCATGGCCGCAGTATTACAGGCACTGGAAGTGCTGCGCATCAAGAAAGCCGGCACAGACCTGGATTGGTTCAAGTACCTGGAGCCGGTAACAAGCCTAGTCAACTTCAATCAAATGAAGTGCCTTCAAATACCCATTGAAGGGATTTCGGAGCAGAGTCTGGTGTCGAGGAAGAGAATTGGAGAGATACTGCCAGATAGGCTTGAACAGTTGCGCCTCTCAGGCCTATCTGTAGAAGCCATGAAGGGGTTGGAGGGTGTGTCTTCAGAAGATGCTAGTCTGGCATTCCCGGCCTTGTTTGGATGGTAGAAAAGGAATCAACCGGCAATACATGCATAGAAGACATGAATGTGAACAGACCAGTACACCGAGTGGCCGGGAGGTTGTCAGAGTCGAAAAGTTGATTGTGCGCATCCGCCATAGTGGGCTGGGGTCATCCAGGCTCCGGTTTTGTCGACGCCGTCATCGCGTGGACAGGTCGTGGATACCTCTTGGGCAGGCTGAGAGTTTCTGTCGGGAACGCAGAAATGGTTTGGTATCTGACCGGCGGGGGAGAGTATGATATAAGACGGTGTTAGTCTTGGGGACCCGACGACGCCCTAGCGCTAGCGTGGTTCGCGCTGACACCTGCATGCATAAATCTCCGGACCCGAACAGCTTCACGTTGCGTCATTGGGCATGCGATGTTCTACTCGCTGTGCAGCACTGCTGCATGTGGTAAAGTCTGGAGAGCACATCTATCGCTTATCTGTTCAAGAAGGGGCTGCTGGCGAGCCACATTCGTGCCCATGCGTCGCATCGGCGTAATCTCAGGATGGACGCGTCCAACGCGTCGCTCCTCCCTCAAGAACCTCGAATTCAAGCTCACTGATGTGTAAAATGCCTTTCAGTTGTCCGCCTCACATCCTCAGGTAAGTCCTCCGCAATACACTTACGCGCCCATGGCAGCATCCGTATCCGGCTCTGACATGGTTTAGGGCCTACAAGAATGGCGACTTCACCGACTTAGTTATCAGCTGCGGCGACTCGACATTCGATGTGCATTCCGTTGTTGTTGGCTCAGCATGCGAGTTTTTCGCGAATAACATTAAATTCGCTGGAAAGGTAAGTCCGCAGCGTTTCGCGCCAACCTCCCGTGTTGACATTGGAGCAGGAAGCTGATGAACGACGTATCGATCTGCCGGCCGACGATCCAGACATGATCCGACGCTTAATCGCTTACCTGTATCTGGGTGACTACGATCCCACCGACGACATTGGCATCGCCGCGTTCGAACAACTCAAGCAATATGACCTCAACACAGCAGCGGCGCCCGCTCACCACCCCCGCAGAGATGTATGGGGAAGCTCTCAGCCTCATGATCAATGCGCTTGCCTGGCGTTGAACCTCAAGAATATCGAGCAGCCGGAATTGAAAATCGAGCAGCCGAAGAAAGCGACCCAATACGTCAGCCACCGAAAGCCCGACAACAGCATCGAGATCACCAGTCCGCTTACAATACACGCGAGTATGTATGCGCTCGCTGATAAATATCAGGTGAAGGGGCTTAGCCGACTTGCAAAGACCAAGTTTCGCGAGAGCCTGGATCACCACGTTGATTCGGAAGACTTCATCGCTGCCGTGCAACTGACGTATAGCAACACCCCAGAGACCAACCGCGGTCTTCGAGATGAGATAGTGCAGGCTTTCCGGACATACTTCAAGGTGGACATCACCGAGTTACCTGGCCTGGAGTCGAAGCTAGATACCATTGATGAGTTGGCTTTTCTGCTTCTCAAATCCTGGCCCAGGAAGATGGAATCCACAAGCCCTCAGAAGTTTGTCTCGTCTGCAGGTGCCGCTCATACGCCCTCTCATTTGGTTATTACCGCGGGTCCCTCCACCTCCGGTACCAACGCAACTTCCCCTTCTTCCAACGCTCCTGTGACGAGCACTGGGTTTGCCTCTTACGCTCATACGCCAGGTGCAACTACCTCTAGTGCTCCAGCCACCGGAAGCTTGTTTGGAAGCCTCCCTCCACGCATATCGGGCGGATTTGCAAGCTTCTCGTCAACACCTAGTGGTACTGGTAACGCTGGATCAAGTCAACCAACTCTTCCTTTCGGATCTCCAGAGTAACGGGTAATCCTGCTATGATACTAATTCAATCCTTTTCACCCTGTCTTACTATGTAGTATACAGCCTCTTACTTTAGTTTGTCGACTTGATTTAGTGACGTTCGTTCGCGACTTCCTCTTCGTCGTTCGAGCACGTGCGATACCCGAACCTCCTGCTACTCGCGGAAATCGCTCCTGTCGATACCTTATAAACCGCTTTGTAGATCACCGAGCGGCACTTTCTTGTCCCGAGGTCGGATGCAATGGCTGTGCGAAGCTAGCAGCTCTATGGCATATTTGTTGTCTTTCTCTTGTAACTCTTCCCGTCATTCACCCGCGCGAAAACCCGAAAACTTACCATTGGCACCGCTGCGCCCATCGATTTTGGTCTCTTTTTGGAATCACGCATAATATATACGCATCTCTTGCATCGAATTCACCATGTCGAACGTGACCAGAATGTCGACCTCGAACACAGACGCCGATGTCGCCTTGCCGCATGCCTCGTTGTTCGCATATTTCCGTGACCCTGCAGCTGTTCACAAAGCGACAGATACCGATATCTTATCCAATGAGAACAGCTGTGGTACCAACGCGCATCAACTGCTACGTTCGCCCAGCGATGACGACGACGACGAAGAGTCAAGACTAGGCTTCTGGGGCGAAGTGGATGGACCTAAGAGCTCGTCTGGATCATACTCATTCGACGAAAGCAGATCAGCTTGGCGAGGAGCAGCCGCCTTCTGCTGTCTTTGGTGTGCGTTCTCGGTCATTATCCTCGGCGCCTTTGGCCTCTATTTCACTGTCGACCTTGCCTTCAGCCACTATGGACTGGGTACTGGGATGGCGGAGTGGGTCATGTACAGACAACAGCTCCCACCGAGCAACACCCGTGGGGTGAGTCACTCGCAGAACCACAGTGGTGTCGATGAGTAGCGTACTGATGTTTAGCGTGCGTTAGATAAGGTTCTGCCTTGAGACTCCGAACCGCGAGGCACCGGGCCCGCAGGCCTGGCACTACCTGAAAGCAGACACCGGCGATCAGTGCACGACCGATACCATCGAATTCATTCTCAACCCAAAGGAAGCATGGAAGGTTCAGCCAAATGCGATTCTGCTCTTGAGGGACGATGCATCATACCTGGGTCAGCATGAACAGATTCGGGCACCCGTTATCTCCCGAGAACAACCACAAGCTCTTAAGCTGGGTGACGATGTTGCAGAAGAGGGTCACTTGGGCCAAACAGTTTGAGAGGTCACATACGGAAACTATCATAAGCACTTGGTGAATGACACTGGCATTCATTTTCTAGTATACTTCATTCGCTGCATTCTTTGTTTGGCATCTTGTAATAAATCTTTTGCATTTCCTCCGCCTAGCAGTGCCCACTGATGATAGTAACATCGCCGCTGCGAGAACGCGCACTATTGGTGAAGTCCTCAAACGGTCGAGTCATTATCTACTTGTTTGGAGGTCCTCGGAGTCGCGACACGTATCTTTTGATACCATTCCTTTGCGCATGAGGCGTATGAGATGCGGAAAGTGTGGCTAGCTTGCCATCTATGGGTCGCCTCTGAGTCATTGGTCAATGACACAAGTGTTGGAAAGGGTTCTTCATCGTCGAAAGATGGTACTACCCGCTTATCAGCGCGTGCCCATGTTCGATAGGCTCGTGGGTTTTCCTCGTCCGGTACTGTGTCGCATATCGCGCGCTCGGCAGGAGGACATTGCAGGATCACTTCGTAGTGCATCTCGCGACCCGCGATCCAATCGCTGTATTTTTCGTACATCGTGACGCACTGGTCATTTTGGGCGCCTTCGAAGATCAGATACACAGCTTTCAGGTCCTGGAAGAAGTGGTGAGCTTTGTTGAGCGCGTCGAGCCAAGCAAAGGCCTTGACGCTTGGGTGAAGAAGCTCAATCACCTGGATACTAGCAGGAAGAAGCTTGCAAGGATTCGGAAAACCATCGCCAAGAAGAAGATCCTGTGGTATAGTAAGGGTTTCCAGCTGCTTGAAGAAAGCAAAGGTGGGGACCGGCCCCATCCACTTCAAGAACTCTTGGTCGAAGCTATCGTACGCACTCACTGAGAGGGTTTTGAGGCTAGGCGCAACCCGGGAAAGGCAGTAAATCATCCTATTACTCTTCGCACGCTTGGAGTGTGTAAGGATAGACTTGACAATAGAGAAGCCGCCAGACGAGTGGAAGTTGGTGAGCTGGATGGAGAGATGTTCCAACCGTGGGAACGATGTGGCCGAAAGAAAACCGGCATGGAGCGCCCCGTTGTGATCAACTTCCTTTGCTACACAGCTAGCGAGCTCAAGTTGAAGAGTATCAACAGCAGGAGCGACGAATGAAGACGGGACCCTGCATTCTCGCGCGACCTCTAAGCACTGCAGCTTCGGCAGAGTACACCAATTCTTGTCAAGACGGCTGCCGAAGAACCGCAAAGTTTCGAGTTTCTTGAGGCCACAGATCTGGGATAAATCCAAAGCTGGTCTGTTGATAAGGTTCCTAAGTCTTGCGTTGACGATACCTTTCATTCGAGAGGACATGACCGGATCGGTGCGTTTGGGTTTTAGAAATTCCAAGAGATAGTACCCAGGCTTTCCAAAGAGTTTGTGGAGAGGATCCTCTGCGTAACGCTGATGGGACCATACAATGCGTTTGTTATACTCCACATCGTCGTCCGCTACACGAAAGTCAGGCATAGTGGAAAGGATCTCTATCTCCAGCTCGACCAGATTTGGAAGTAAAGCGAGAATGAGACCACCACAAGCTTTGCCGTCGCCAGAAAGTAAGCGCGCTTTCCAGTCAGGCACACGGATGGCCCAACCAGTGCCTTTAGTACCCATGTCGTCGATCACTCGTAGTGCTTTAGCGATGTCGTCAGATGACCATTTGGGAGGCGACGTTGGCTGCCCTCTTATAAGACTCATTGAGAGCTTGCGAACGCTAGATGCTAGTTCAGGTCGGTGAAGAAGCGCAAGCGCAAAGGAGAAGACTTGTTCGACCGCGCAGTGATAGCTTCCTGAGTAACGCTCGTTAAGGGTTAGGTTGGTGTGGAGCTTTTCATTCGCGATACGTCGCAGCTGGTGCGACGCGAGGGAAATATGAGCAAGGTCGCTTTGTTTTGTCATATATCCCGTGATACCATCGAGCAGCTCCTCTGGTAAACCAGACAATGCTCCCATGTTCGTCGAAGGAGACACATCTGCGTCCAGAGGTGAAGTAAGCTTTGCTTGGGTTCCGTGGTGCTGCATCTTGGTTGGGTTGGAATTTGGATCCAGTTGAGTGAGCGCAATGGATGAGAGGTATTGGGGAATAAGCAATGGGCCCGCAAATTTATATGAGTGAGGAATGTCCACGCAGACGTTCACTTCGTGGCCCTAGTCAATTCACCCATCTGCGAACGCCCAGGCTTCTATCGCTTTCATTGTTGTCGCCACTGTCTCAAGACCCTCTCCAACTTACTGTATCTAATATTGTGGGTCTGCCGCTAGCCTGCGCGTTTTGCAGCAGTTTCTTTAATACGGTTTTCTAATCGCTCGCGCTTCGAGCTCTTTCGACCACCCGGATAGGCATAGTGCTCAGCAGTAGACTGTTTTCACATGAGTAAAGTATCGACCAAACACGACAAACCGTATTTACCTGAGCATATGTTTTGGCAGCGATCTCGACCTGCCAAGTGACGTCTTCGTCGTCGTGAGGGACCCAACCCGCTCCCCAGGCATACTCCGCTTCACTCAAGGATGAAAGCCTTTTGGAAATGACCTTCGTGGCTGACCCATTCTTCTTCAGATGATTGTAGGTTGGCAGTACGACCTCCAGGAAATTAAGATTTATGCGATCCTTATCAAGATCTTCCGCATCCCATCGGCAAAATGGTGTAACCAGAAGTAAGGTGACTTCTGGAGGTCTGGCAAAGACAAGACGCTGGATGAAAGCGATGTCGCGACGAAAGCGGTTGTATACACCGTGCTCTATCCATTTGAACTCCGGGCCTGGTTCATGGGGCGTCTCATAGCAACATGTACGCACGTTCCAACCAGCTCTCTCGAGAAAGTCTTCAAATCGTATGTAGATCACGATATTCCGGACGTGATCTTTGGGAATTGATCCGCACGGGAAAGGTGTGTTGATGAGTTCGTTCATCAGTCGTGCATCGCGGAAGTGAACTACATTCACCTTGAAGAAGGCCTCGGTGATTTCCCGAGCCAACTGAGGATTCAACAAATTGGGATTGAACATGAACTGTTCTTTGAGAGCTGTCAGCCGTCAGTTCACAATCTCTTTCTTCTCATCTTGATCTAATCTGCGACGCCAATACATCTCCTCACAAGCGACCAGAGCAACCGTTTCTCCCGTATCGTGCTCATGAAAGAATTCGTGGTTGAGATCTGGTATATGAACACCATCGTCCTCTACGCATAAAAACTCGTAGATTGAGAGGCGCAACTCGGCAGCGCCACCTAGAGCATCCAGCAAGTTCTTGGCGATTTTGCTGAGATCCTCGGCTTCATATATTATAATCCGAGAGTCTAGCTCTCTGTCTATAGTCAGTAGCTACCGCTTCTTCAAGTTGTGGCGCTTACTTGTTGAGTCGCCTCCTCTCAGCCCTCAGCTCGTCTAGAATATCTTCTGCGCAGTCGACATATTCGGCGCCACATTCGATATCTTCACATCGTTATTCATTGGCTTCTATCTGCTCGTATAGCCTGGTCGCGATGAGCGCTGGTGGACTTCATAGTGCATAATTTGGTGACTTACTTCGAAAGCTCTGGCCATGCCGCACGGGTAGCTGAGGAGCGATAATCTACCGGTCCCCCCTTGTACGAGCTCGTCATTGCGATACTCGTTTGATGGAAGCACGAGTGAATGCGTATTGCCGTCGATGCGAAACGGGTTGAATAGGAGGTCAAGATGGGCTGCGGAGTCGTGTCTGGATGTCAGCTCAAAGAAACCTGTGTTGGCCCCACGGCTACTTCCAGGGTTGACCCGGAAGCAGGGCCGTGCGGCGTTTCAATAGCGGGAGCCATAGGCCGACAACGCGTGCAGCTCAGAATCGCAGCGATCATTGCGGCTACGTTACAACTACCAAAAAGATTCGCAGCTTGAACCTTGATTGTCAAAATGAGGTCTCATCCAAAGAAGCCTGCGTACCTAGGTAAGATTCTTACACTTTACCCAAAAGAACAACTTCCAGGTAATAAAAACGAGTTCTGAATCACCCGATCCATCACTAGTGCAGCCATTTTCTCCAACGATGAATCAAAGCTCTCCAAGGCTTGGTCCCAGGCTACCTAACGATGACACATCAGCTTCTACAAACTCGGACCTACGACCATGAATGGCCAGTACATCTAGCCATCAACTAAGTTACGGCGTTGATATTGCCATAAGCAAATACTCTGGGTCACAAATACTCCTTCCCGATCTGAACCGTCTGTCCATCCTCGTGGTGTTTATCCACAAAACGCAATTCCAGGTGCTCACCACCTATTTCCCGGATCTTGACCACAGCCTTCCACGTCTCGGAGCAGTCTACCCCCGCACTCGTCCCATGCAATCTCGTAGTCGGCGTTGTGTTCATTGCTAACGCCACAAGCCCCGCCACATCCTCCCAGCACTTGCCCCCATAGTACCGACCCGTAAACCCGGCATAGCTGAGTACTGCTACATGAACTAGCACTAAAAGCGTGAATAGAAGTAATACGGCCATGGCTACCCAAAGTGCGGTGTTCCAGAGTCCGTATCCATATCCATACGAATCGAGTTTGATGCGCACCGAGTAGAAATCAGGAACGTATCGACCTGGACCCCACGTGTAATCACTGTTTGGCCCAAGATAGACTTCCAGTACCGTTACCACTTCGGATCTGGCGGTGGCATTTGTTTTCAGCAGGGTGTATACCAGGGACGAGCTTCGCGCTATGCCGTCCGTAAGTACGACGCCTATTAGCATGGCTAATGCCTCCTCGATCGCGCCGCCCGCGTCTTTGGATGTGACGTTCGGCGCTGAAAACGCCGTCGTTTTGCCATCGTCTAGCTTGCGGCTGTCGATGGCAGAATTAAGGAACATAGCCATGCCTGTACTGTTCGAGGTGGAGTTGTCGGCGGACCGGCTAGTTTGATTCCCGTTGAGCAACGCAGCCCAGTCGAGCTGTAGATTGAGCGGCTTATGCGAAAGTGCATACTTTGTAACAAGTGATTCACCGTATTGCCAATCGGTCTCGGAGAGCGTATTGGAAAGTGTATCGGACACATTGCTGGAGACGATGGTTGAGTTCGCGGGCTGATAGTACGCGTCACTGGCTGCCCAGCGTGCATCGGTCGAGCAGGCCACAATGGCCGAAGATCGGTATTCGTCTGTCGAAGAGTTTGTTGCTACAATGGGTACGATTGCCAACGCAAGCAGTGATGTAGATGTGTTCATGCCAGATTTCTTGTACCACTCAAATCGTGAGTTCTCATCCGGAAGTCCATCAAAGATCACATCTTCAGCATCCACGTATCCAGGTGTTCCGTAATTTAGCCCCGCCGGCCTCCATGCCTGTGATATGTCCGGAAACGAGATATTCTCTCGAATCGAGTCCCAGTTCCAGAAGGACATACTACACTTTACCATAACGACAGGCTGGAGGAGTGGCGTATCCGCCGTGATGCGTAACCGAGGATATGCAACGTCTCCAATGCCGCCAGTGTTAGTACGCCTTGCAAAATTATAAAAACTGCCGAGTGTCCTCGAAGCCTGCTCTGTAATGACGGTGGTGTAGGCTGAGGTGCCGGAACTGTCAGAGTCGGTCTTGACGGCAACCTTACGTTGGACGCTACTGAGGTAGTCCGTAAAGAGCAGGGCATTGGGCGATTCAGTCTTCGTGAAACTGACGAACTAGGGAAGGTTAGCCTTCTGCGAACATATCCTGGTGGCATTGGAGCTACACACCCATTTGAAGACATCCATGAATCCGGCTGTAGGGCAGAACAGATTCGTTGGATTGAAGGGATTCTTGAGGCAGCCGGTAATTTCAGTCGCATTCAGGCTCATTGAAGCAGTGAACTTGGTCGGCCAGATTTCAGCTGTGGTTGCGTTATAGAGAATTGTCGAGCTATTGGCCGGAAATGCACTCTTCATCTCGTACCATCCCAGCGAAGGAATCATCGAGATAGCTGATGATGGTCCCAAAGCAAAGGACAAGATACAGGCGAGAAACATCAAGCCTCCGAATGGGATGTGACGTGTCCAGCCCACCCAAAACGATTTATGTAGTAGCATGCCGGGTGAGTTGGTGAGGTGGGGTGCGCTGAGAAGCCCGAAAGGAATGCCTGTACGTCCGACCAGCAGTTTTCGCATGTAGTAAAAGACGATGAAAGAAAGTGATGATAGCATCAGCAGCTCATGAATCTTGGCAGCAAACTGAAATGCTTTGAGTTCCATGTTTCGCCGCCGCTGCTTCTTGACCTCGAAGTCACTCCAAAAGGTCTCGGTAATGTGCACCCAGAGAAGGGCGCCGATGATGGTCAGTGGTGCGGTGTGGACTAGAATCTCGAACCACGGAAATTGACTTCTCAAAGCGACTTTGGCCTTTTCGAAGGGTTGATGCCTGCCTTCGTTGACATGTCGCGTAGTTCTCATAGCGCACTTGTGAGCGTTGGTACTATCTTTTGAGGCTGACAATGGCTAACCGACCAATATTGTAGTGTTTTTTTTTTTCCATTAATTGCAGATTGAAGTAAGGTGGCGAAATAGAAAGAGGGCGGAGCGCGGGGATGTGCCAAATTTAAGAAGGCTGAAGAAACGGGCTGCCTGCGTTGATGATGAGACTTTGTCATTGAAACCCTATCCGGGGGTAGTAGGAAAGGCCGCAACAAAGCCACGCGTGATTCAATAGGACAGTTGATATGGTAGATACACGTTAGATGCGGGGGCCAAGTGTCTGACAAGATAAAGGTTGCGGGCAACAAGGCTGAGGAGCTGATGGTTGCAACCTTCCACGCTCCAACCATGATTAGCTTACGCGACATGAATATCTAAAGAAAGGCTGAATCTCGAAAGGCGCTAGCTAAGTTTTCTAACAGAGCAGGAACAGTAAGCGACAAACGGTTTCTAGGTCTCTTGATGCTTTGCATACCGTGAGAGGGCTCTGGCAAAGGCAAACAGCGAGAGATAGCTGGACAAAGTCCGCTTGCAATTGTACGTGTGAGATGATATCTTTTTGAAAGTCAAGACAGGCTAATTTATGAAGTAGCTGTGATGCTAGAAGTGCCGAGCGAAGACAAGATCTGACGCGGTCCAGATCAGTGGCGCTCAACTTCTGCAGCCTCAAAAGAGGCCCAGTCAAGGCGGATGAAATGAGCGTCTGCTGTGCTATATACTCCACGTAATCTGATAATATCCGGGACAGAGGTAGAGGATTGTTATGCTGTTCTTTTTCATGCGTTGTGCAGTTGAGTGTTTAAGCGGCTTCTCCAAGTATCAACTCCATCAGGCGTCAGATTGCTGGTTTTGCGGATGGGTAGAATACAGACCACGCACTTCCGTACCGTACCTAAATTTGGATTCCAGTCATGTGTGAGTTTCGTTAAGATTGCCCAGGTGGTGTTTGTGTGGATGATTCCAAGGAAAGAGCCCTGGAGGGCGAGGAAGTGGATCTAGTCCCAAACGAGAATGGTGCCGTTCGGGGGAATGACGCGAGGCCGAGCCTCATCCATGTTCCCCAACGCGAACATCGGCGCATCCACTCGACGCGACGTAGCAGTGCATCCGCTGAGCACGTGCTAATTAGCTCATGCTCATGGAGATAGTATGAATGAAGAGGACGACTACGAGAATGGCGCCAGTAAATATCTCCACCACGCTCGGAGGAGCTGCCAGCTGACCACGCGCAACAGGCTCCGCCGAGGAGGAAGATGAGCAGGAGGAGAATGATGCTATGGACATAGACGAGGAAGAAGAGGGCGATGACGCAGACGACGGCGATAACGACGACGACGATGCAGAAGGCGACAACGATAACGACGATGAAGACCAAGATCAAGATCAGGACCAGGACGAGCCCGACAGCCCTTCGCAGCGTCCGCGCAACAGCATATCCAATGGCGGGACAGCTGGACAAGCAGACGGCAATCCATCTGTCACCCTCACATCACCCAGCCCTCGTGCAGCGGCTTCGGGCGTGCTTGGAAACCTGCCCTTCCACCCCAGCGTGCGACAGGAGGCCTTGAATGCGCCTATATACGACATCATACCCACCATTGCCGCACCGCATAGCACCTCAATCAATGCCATTACCGCTACACCAGATATGCGATGGGTCTTCAGCGGAGGCGCGGACGGCTATATACGAAAGTTCAATTGGGTAGACACGGCCAACGGAAAGCTCGCCCTGACCGTGGCCCAGCGACACCCTTTCGTTGACTCGGTCACCAAGGCGGGCGTGCTTCTCTCATACTGGGAGAATGAGGACAGTGCCGCAGCCGAGAGCTTGTCCCCTGTGTACTCGCTCGCAGTACACCACCAAGCCCTATGGCTGTTGTCGGGTCTGGACTCGGGAGGCATAAACCTGCAGTCGGTGCGCCATCAGGAAGGAACGCGGATACACACTCTAAAGAACCATACCTCAGCCGTCTCGGTTTTGACACTGTCGCAGGACGAGACGTCGGTATTGAGTGGTAGTTGGGACAAGACTATCAATGACTGGGACTTGAACACTGGAAGCGTCAAGAGGAAGTTCGAGACGAGCGGAGGACAGATATCCGCAATCGAGCAACGTCCCATGTCTACGTTACCTATACCTCAGGATACCGAAACCCTTCCTACCTCGAACGGCACTTTCTCCTCCAACAACTCCGCCCGACCTCGAACCAACGGCGCCCTCGCGAACGGCGCCGATATAAAGCCCGTGATACCCAAGGAAGAAGGTACTGAGGATGCCCAGGGATCTCCAGACGATTCGCTGTTTGGAGACAAGGACCAGGACTCTTTGTTTGGCGACGGCCAGGAAAACAACCTCTCGGCCACTCTTCCTTCGTTCGGTGGTGACGACGACGAGGACGAGTTCTCCAGAGCCATCGCGAACGGCATACAGCAAGCGGACGACGACGCCAATGCTGACATGGACATGATGGACATGGGCGGTCCTGTACAAGCACCCGAGGAGCCAGCTGCGGAACAAGCGAAGGAACCCCCAGTAGATGCTGAGAACCAACCAGCAGCGAATGGAAGTACAGATGCGCAGCTCAATGGCACTTCCAACGGCCTGCCCCATGCAGAGGATCTCGAACAGTCTACGACTACTTCCGCAAACCAGACCGAGCAGCCTGCTTCATCTGAAACGACCTTTATGGACGCGTCAATGGACGGCACATTGCGTATCTGGGACCGCCGGCAACCGAACCCCGTCGCACGCATCACACCCCCGCGAAATACACCACCATGGTGCATGAACGCATGCTGGTCACCAGACGGCAACTTCATCTACGCTGGCCGACGAAACGGCACAGTGGACGAATACAGTCTACACAAGAGCCTGAGAGAGCCGCGACGCACATTCCGATTCCCCAGCGTCAGTGGTGCAGTGAGTGCAGTTCGGGCTATGCCCAATGGGCGACATCTCATTTGGTAAGCTCACCTCCCTTCACACGCGCACACATACATACGTGACGTGACGTGACGTGACGTGAGACAAGCACTAACATGTACCAGCGCATCATACGACATCCTCCGCCTCTACGACCTTGCCCACAACGACGCGGGACCGAAAGCCGGCGCGGCCGCTACCCCTTTCTTCATTGTCCCCGGACACCGCACCGGCGTCATATCGCAACTATACCTCGACCCGACGTGCAACTTCATGATATCAACGGGCGGAAATCGGGGCTGGGAGGGAGCATCAACAGAGGTGATGCTTGGATATGAGATTGGCATCGGATCTTAGCATGTACTATACCCATTGATCGCGGCGTTTGGGACGGCGTTTCTTGAACGAGGGGGGTCTGCGTGCACTTTTGTGATTGGGTACGAAGAGCAAAGAATAAAGAGACAAGAGTTTTAACGCGACGATCGTGAGTGCAACGCGTGTGCCAGGTGACGTAGCTGGGGTAATGGGCATGGGGATACGCAAGTGCTGACTCCGAGATGTTACGACGAAGCGTTTAGGTCGAAGCTTATCCTTCTTTTGTTTTTCCTTCTCTCCTCTGGTTGTTGCAGCCCTCACGTTTGTTCTGCCATTGCAGCTGATTGACTACTTGCAGGCTCGGCATTCCCGCACCATGTCGATGGTGTCACGCGGAACACGCGTCCACCATAATTTTTTTCCGTGTGGGAGGAGCGGGGTAATTTTGATGAAGTCTTTCTCAGAAGCGCTTACTATCGCATTGACCCGCGGAGAAGAGTATACCCAAACATAGACGGTAAAGGAAGTGACGTAGTCGGTGAGAGCCTCGTTGTACCAAGAACATGCATTGGGCGCGAGGATAGGGGCAGACAGTACGCGCGCGCATCTCAACTAGATTTCGGATCGAGAGGGGCGATTAGTCGGATCAGAGTCCGTGGTGTTGCAGAATTCGAAGAGACGGCGGGGCTCATCTCAACCATGCACCCCACAGACAGGATCCCTGGCACCGGCGTCGGCATCCAGTCAAGGCGACTGGAAATCTGTCAGCGCTGGTACAAATGCCGACATTCAACACTATGTAAGTCGCTATCGGCACGGTGTGTCGGGCTTTGGTGCAGGAACACCAGCGGTGAGCGCCTCGTATGTACGAACGGAGACGGAATCGAAACGAGGCAGGCGGCCAATGATCACCTCGTTCGAACTTTTCGTCGCCTCGCCGAAACTCGAGCCCGTAACTGTAGGCGCGCGTCATAAAAAGCCCGAGGTGGACCGACGCTGGTCCGATATGTGTTTCAAGAAACCTGGAACAAAAGCGTCCGAGTTGTCGTAGACCCACAGGTATGGTGTTTCTTTCTTGGTACAAATGCAGGTTGGCGGTTTGGGGAATCCCTGCTGGGAATTTTGTAGGCTAGCGAACGACTTTAGCTCCCGG